AAAATCATTCAAGTGTCACTGAGTAAGACAACAAGTTTGATGTCACACTTTTCCACATTATTCAAGCACATTTTCTGCCTCGCTAGCTTTTATCTTCACAGCAGGCCAACAAATTTGGGATCAAGTGGGAGAGAATAATAGGAGAGAGGAGAGGAAAAGGCACAGATGCTGAAACAGTAACACTGGATCAGCACGTTTACCAATTTGTTCTCAAATGCAGTTAAACCTTGATTATCCAAAACAAGGTCATGTCTTGCACAACATGTATTAATTGCACAGGAAATCCCACTCCGTTATCCATTATTTCCCCTCATCCCCCAGTTTCAAGAGGATAATCAAGATCTGATTGCACTCTTGTGTCACTTCATATCCCCCCCCACCTACACAAAGTGACAGACCAAACCAACAGTTAACTCAGAAGTTCTACTGAGAACAGTCACAATTATTACTTGCAACAAAGAGGGCACTATTACTACATGTAACATGAACAATTTCTTTCCAGAAAGCTTCCCGTCACCATTTAGCTGAGGTCTATTGGGGGTAAGGCATTTAGGCACTTTTGAAAATCCCAGCAGGCACCCATCTGCATCTTTAGGCCCTAAATACCTTTGAAGATCTAGCCCTAGGCTCTTTAGGGCAGGCACTGACACTTTTTTGCAGTGCCTAGCACGAGGCCCCGGACTCCAGAGTCACAAATGTATTAAGACAGTGCTTAAATTCCCACAGTTTTTCTCAAAATGGTCACTTTAAGAATGAAGTGGTACTTACCAAAGAATGAAGAAAGAAGGTAGTATTTTGAAACATTTTACTAAGAAAGGATGACTGTTTACCATACAGTAACCCTACACTAAACAGGTCTCCGTTTCAACAGCATCTCGTACGTAAAGGGCAAGTTATTTTGTGCCATTCTTTAAATGGGGCCTTGAACCATCAAGAGCTACCTTCCCTATATAATATAATTTGTTAATATTGTATAAAAGGTTAACGCAAAAATCTAAGCAGCCCAATGGAACAGGTGTACTAGTTCTTATTAGTTCACTTAGCACTAGATGTATCTAGGCTCTTTCTGGAAATTAGCTTTCAGAAACATTTTTCATCTTAATGGACTTCTACAAAGCTGTCAGCTGGATACTCAACAACACAAAAGATAAAAATAGCTTGATCACTAAAAATAGCAAATTCACAACTTTATTTATACAACAGACCAATAAAAATACAACCACAGCAACTAGTCTTTCATCCTCATATACCTTTGACCACAAAAATTGAAGTGATTTTTATTCCTATCTATTTTGGAGCAATGGTACTAGATCAGCTGAGATAAGCAAATAACCTTTATTTTTCCATGAAAGAGCGGTTTCAAAACTGCACGATGCCAAGAGAAGAACTGACATTAACTCCAGACCCTAATACATCATAGGGAAATAAAACGATATATCAGCTACAGCATGCCAAGCAAGTTTAAGAAATATTTCATCTTCTGAATGCACTGTTCATTTAAGAACTTGATGGAGGTTATTTAGCCCATTTAAAAATAAGGACATTTTAAGAAATGACAGGTCACCTAGTTGTCTCAACTTTAAGCCACATTTTTCCGTCGCCAATTTCTGTTCTTGTTTTCACATGCAATTGTTAGCTTTGTCTTATTTGCAACTCAAAATATTCATTCAATTCTGGCCTTGTTCTTCCGACCCATCTCTCGTACTCTCCTGATGCTTCTGCCCCATCTTCCTCTTTCATGTCTCCATACTCTTGTAGGCCCTCTTCCCACATAATCTTCTTTAGGTGCTACAGGCCTTGTTTTTTGCAACAGCATGCAGCTTTACTGCCATAAGTGAACACTTTGCTATGCAATTAGTGAACTGTGCCAAACAGATGCTAGCCCTTGCCCTGAAAAACGAGCAATATAAAGGCTCAAGCATTGATAATAGTCACTTTAAAATTATTATGGACCATTGGTCCTTATGGTTTCCAAATAAACACTCACTGAAGTGAATGGAAGGCCATTGATTCCAATGGAAGTTTAATCTGTCAGAAAGGGTGAAAATCCGAAGCCTTCATTGAACAAAGTGTTAGAGTTCTTAAGAGAGAATCTAAATCAGAGTCTATTAACATCCTTCTTTAAAGACTAGCCACATTTTCACATCATGTAGACACAAATCAAGACAAAAAACAAATATATTCAGAATAAAACTGCAAGAGATTTTACAGAAGGAGGAAAGGGATGCATAAGGTGAAAAGATATCCCAAACTATTTTGAGGAAAGGGATGCATAAGGTGAAAAGATATCCCAAAATATTTTCCATACTAATAACAGACACTAATAATTCACCAAGACCATTATTCTGCCATATTTCTTTCAGTTTTAGTTTGTTAGGCTCGCTCATATTTGTGACAGACAAATCCATCCATTTCTCTTACTAAATATTGTGATTATATTTCTGTGTGCCAATATCAGATTCTATTTCCATGAATATGGAAGACCTTACAATATTCAGCAGAACCTTGCTAGCTTTCCCTTTACTATGCCACACACCTCAGATTTAATACTGAGCTGTAGTGAGCTCTCACTTTACGAAGACTTCAATGCTTTTACAAAACATACCACAGAAATATAGAAACACTTGTCAATGCCTTGATCTTTCTTCTTTTGAAATGAATTCTACATATCCCTTTAACTTTAAGGGAATTCAGACCTTAACATATATATTGTAATGTTTCAGTCTCGCACTTTTAAAAGTTGTGTTTCTTTATTCACCCACTAATCTGCAAAATTCAGTAATGTGCAGTGGATCTCCCAGACATTAGTAGAAATCAGCAAGGTTCTACTGTACTTAAATTATATTTTGAAATTAGAAGAATATCCAACCCATGTCACTACCTTCAACCACTGGCAATGCTCAGCATATAAAGTTTCCACTGAAAAGAGTTTTCTTTTCAGCTCCATCCAATTTAGAGACAAAGGAAATCTAGTTATCTTTAAAACAGCTATATTTTCCAATAATGGCCATCTAAGATACAGGACTTGCTGCAAACAGTAGCAGTAAAAAGGAGAACTTGGAGGAAATAAAATTGATTTGGTTGTGAAGAAGGTCTTTTCCAGTTAAAAGGGTGTGTATATGTTAACCACAAAAATTGATGGCATTACTCCCTTAAAAAAAAAAAAAAAAAAAAAAAAAAAAAAAACTAAAAAAAAAACTTAAATCAAGCAACCACCCAAAGGACTAGCTAGCTGAGATCTTTAGCTAAAATTCTACTAGGAAACTTGGGGAAGACTTTAAGAAGTTACTTAAGAGAGCCAGAGATTTTCCTTAATGAAGGTGGAATCCTTAGTGGAAGACACACTGTGTTTTCTGCAATCTCCGTTCCATGATGCTGCAATTCTGAGGTCAGTCATTTACAGTAACAGTGACATAACCAGTTTTCTATGGGATGAAATGGTCTAAAAATCTAACATAAAATGCTTCATAATCAGACACAGTTGAGAAGTATGATCAAAAGAATTACAGATTCATGAGTAATATTTTTTAACATACCTACTAAATTATAGGCTGTTCCCCATAATAGGAACGACATTACTAGCATCCCCCACCCAGTGCCATATTGGAAATGTAGTCTCTATACCAGCACAACATATGAAGATCATCCCCAGCCACATACCTATGAGGCCCTTTTTCCTAACTTCTATTGCGACACAGTAGGACTGCTAAATCATGACTTACAACATGATCAAAAATATCACAGTATTTTGTAATACAAACCTGAACAACAACAACAGCCGCCGCCGCCTTGTTCTACAAGCTGGTCACCAAGTATGGCACAGAATAAAAGCCATTTCTCCCTACTACCACTACATCCTAACCATAGAGAGTAAGTCTGCAATTAACCTAGTAGTAAACCAGCTGAATCTGATGCCCTGAACTATGATGTTGCAGCTGATCTGATCAGTCATTGTTTACAATATAGTTCCCTATGAAAATGTTTTTAAGGGAAGGGGTAGGAAGAGAATGTAGGTTTGAAGTTGTACATGAAGTGGACACTTGGGCAGCTGGAGGTTACTAGAAGCAGGAAAACTCCTATATCCAGATCAGCAAAACTTCAGAAGTAATCTAATCTTTCTCTAAAATATAAACGCAACAGCAGATCGTGAGAGTACAACGGGTTTCATTTAAAAAGAAGAAACAGAAGCAGTTTGCAAATGATTTGCCCCACTTATTGCCCACCACAAGAAACAAACCTACAACTTTAACTGGAAGAATAAGAGAGAAGGAAAAAATTAAGGGAATTGAAGCCAGCCACAGAAAACAGGTTGACCTGTTCTAACATGAGCTAACCTGAGTTCTTCATACAACTGTGAAAAAAAGAAACCCTGTTAAATATGAAACCACACATACACCTCAACTGTCTCAAGTATTGACAAAGAGAAGACTCTTGAATGAGATTTTAAATGTCTTGTTCAAAAACAAGATAAAAATCCCAAGAGTGAGATTTTTTTTTAAATTCCTAAAAATTAACCCAAAATGAAGAAGTCATCCCATAAGTGAACAGGACTTGGCAGAAACAAACATACAAACAAACAACCAGAAGAAAAAGAATTCAACCTCCACCCTCAAACAAGATCATTACAAGCCAGAAAAACCATGCTGAGGTGCTACAAAGAGAGTTGAGTGAAAAGACACACAAACACTTGACAGAGGAAAAGTCACATTATTGTACTTTTCTTAATCAAAGTTTTCCCTTTGGATCAGCAAGACTTACATGAACATCCCCAGAACAAGTCCCCCCTCCTCCTTCTCCAAATCAGAAAAATTAATAGCTTTACCCAGTACCCCAGGTGTAACCCTAGAGTTCAAAATACCCTTTCAATCCCATCCTCCTCTCCTAAAGAGCACCAGGTACCCCCTCGGATCCATCCTAATGCCAAGACTCCGTTCTTCAACTTATCCTTCTCCCTCCCAGCAGCCAGCCTTTTCCCCCGCCCCAAGACCCCCCAAACTCACCTCATCAGCGCTCAGCTCCTCCATCGCTTTCCTCTTAATGGTGAAAGTAGTTTGGGGGCTCTTTGCTTCTCTAGGGGATGGGAGCTTCGGGGGAATTCGGTCCTGCTGCCTCTTGCCCCAGGGGTGTCTCAGAATTGCATAGTCAGAGGTGAAGCACAACAATACAGAACGCACCCTCTCTCTGCTTGCCAGTCAGGCTAGGAGCAGCAATCCCCTCCGCCAGCTCCTCTCAGGGGCTGCTGCCTCCCTGCGCCCCAGCTGCGACTGCTGCACCCTGCCCCAGCTCCAGGAGCCTCGTATGCCCCAGCTCTTGCTCCCCGTTCTCCTGTGCCCTAGCTCAGATGCCCTCAGCTCCTGTCCCCCCCCCCCCTTTTCCAGGTGCCTCCTTCCCTTGTTGCCCCCAGCTCCTGCTGCCCCCAATACTGCAGGAAGGGCGACACCAGTGCCTGCCTCAGCCCTGCCCGCTCAGTGCCCCGCCCGGCTGCCCCCTCGGCCGCTGCCCGGCTCGCTGCCCCTGCCCCACACAGAGATTATTCATCAAAACAAGAAGGCGCGGCGGCCATCTTGGGAAGAGATCACGTGAGCCCGCCCGGCTGCTCCGACTGAGCTGAGCACGCCGTGCCCCGCTCCGAGGCGGCCAATAGCAGCAGGAGGAGGCGGCTGCGGCCACGGCCGCTCAGGGCGGGGGGAGCGCGCCAGCCGCGGGCACGGCGAGGGGAGGGCCCGGCCGCTGCGCCATAGCAACAGGGGCGGGGCAGTAGGGGGCGGGAAATGGGAGAAACCGGCGTGAGGGCGGGGGAGGAGAGATGGGCGGGGGGAGAGGAACACAGCGGTGGGGGGGGGTTGAGAGGGGATATGATGGAGACAGAAGGGGAGAGGTGGGATGGAAGGTGGGGAGGAAGGAGATGGAAGGGGGGAGAGATGGGGGTTGGACAGGGAAGGGGGAGAGGTTGGGTAGGGGAGATGGAAGGGGGAGAGGTGAGGTGAGAGGT